GTCAAAAACAGAATGTGTTCATTCATTATATTATTCATCAAATCCATTGTTCAAAAGTCAAACCAGTCTTGATCCATATCATTGTCAAGAACACCGGTCTTCTGCTGCTTCCCTATGGCTTGTAGGACGTTGTCAGGCAGTAGGCATGGCCAGTGACAATGCTGCGTGGCTCTTCAGATTCCCTTTAAAGACACTTTCTTGAACCAGTGGCATCTAGGACTAACTTCCTTCCTGCCTCCCTCTCCCACCCTCCACTACTGATTACAAAATTCAGAGTAAACAGTAAGAGTTGTCTGTCCCAGTAAGAGTACATACATGCTTAGTGTTGTCTCAGAAAGCTAGCTGTGATCTCTCTTTTGCTGGGACAAGCAGAGCTTCTTCAGTGATGCCTCCTCAGAACTCTTTAATTTCATAGGAAAGTGCATGGCTTAGGGACAAGCAACAGAACTTATGAAGTAAACTTAGGCATCATACTGAAATACTACCGGTGACACTCGTATTTCTCTCCAGTCAGGGGAAAAAAAATAACAGCATGAAATGAAGACTGCAGGTTTTGAGCATCTAAAGAAAACCTACTCCAAAGAATATTACTGCATCTATGCTGTGTTCTGTTCTCTATCCATTCATCATTAAAATGATGCAGAAGGCAGAGGACATAATGAATTAACATTTCTAGGTGGGGGCTGAAAGGGAACCGCATTGCATCCTAATTTTGTTGATAAAGGGAAGTCACTATGGCTTGTCCTGAGAGTAGAAAAGAGGACCTAGGAACCCCACTTGGTCTTATAGGAAACCCTCTCCTGTCCGGCGCAGAATTTTATGTTACTTTAACACAGTAAAGCTGAAGACTGGTTTCCATCACTGTCTGCTCTTCCTCCTCTTTTAACTAAAAATGTGCTTTAAATGAAGACATTGTGCCATCCGTCAGAAAGGCTGTCTTTAACAAAATATGGATTAGAGATGAGATAACTTTGAGGTGGATGTTTTCTAATGCTGAGGTAAAAAAGGAAGATTAAAATGTTGATTTTTTTTCTAGCTACTTCTCTCTCACACAGATGCCATTCATTATATATGTTTCTACTGCGTAAACAAAACACAACCAGAGTATTATGTGGCCTAATGCTCCCTCCCGTTCTGACAGACTCCTGATTTTAAACCTGAATTTAAATCTATCCCTTCATACAACATCAGATACCCTATTAGGAGGATGTGCCCGAGAGGTGGTGATATCAGCTTGAACTGTTTTCCTTCTTATATGTATTTTGTCGTATCTGAAGCATCAGTTAGGTACCATGTATCAAGCTCTGCAACCTGGCAATCAGGGAACACAAGAGTTCTTGCTGGTGGGTTTTTGTTTAGTAAGCATGCATTCCAAATGATTCAGAGAAGTTGAAAGAGGGATGAATGGGAGGTGTGGCGTGTAGAAGAACTGTGGGTGTGGACTGTAGAAGAACTGGGCCAGGAGCCCTTCAGTCTTTAAGTGCTGTGTGCAAAACTAACACTCAGTATCTTCCACCTGAAGAAGCAGCTCCAACATCCGTCACTGCAGTGGCCAAGGATTAGTCATACCGCCCCTTAATCATCATATTCAACAAAGGACCCACCTGTGGAGAACAAAGAAAAGAAAAATAATATACCAACTGGCATCTACAGAAATGTTAACTTGTCCAGTGATTTCATGGCTTTGGATTTCACCATGCTTCACAAGTATAAGCCCCAACAGAAAGATCCAAATATTTCTGGCTAACTGGAAAGCAATTTTGTCCCCAGCCTATTCAATTTTGAGGAAGGAAAACAGATCCGTGATTCAAGCTACAAAATGATTTTCAAGTCTGGCCCACTCTTCACAGTTCGGACAGGAGCCTTCAATGTCACTACCGGTGGCGTAGCCCCTGGTGGCGCAGTGGATTAAACCCCTATGCTGGCAGGACTGAAGACCGACAGGTCGCAGGTTCAAATCCGGGGAGAGGCAGATGAGCTCCCTCTATCAGCTCCAGCTCCTCATGCGGGGACATGAGAGAAGCCTCCCACAAGGATGATAAAAACATCAAATCATCCAGGCGTCCCCTGGGCAACGTCCTTGCAGACGGCCAATTCTCTCACACCAGAAGCGACTTGCAGTCACTCCTGACACAACAAAATAAAATGTTACTACCGGTTTTTCCTGGCACATAATACCAGTGCTCCAATGTAGCAACAACATATGTTAAAACTCCAAAGACATTCTAAACATGGATGTTTGCATTCCTTGCAACACTTCTGAGCCTGGCATCTTGACATATTAAGTTTATCACTCTAATTTTATACTGGCTAAATAGTATAATTTCAACAATGAAAGGACCAAGGCAGTGACATCTCTGGACCATCCTCTGTTTGGATATCAGCCAGCATGCCTTAAATTAAGAAACAGCTTTCTAATACCTACAGAGATACTCACAGGAACACCTCAGCAAGTGAGAATCAAAAGTGGCAGGTTAAAACCCAGAACCCCAATCAGTGGCTGATACCGGATGAGAAATTCCCTCCCAGGCACAAAGAAGACTGAGCGACTTGGAAGGTGCTGAACAGACTGTGCTCTGGCACCACGAGATGCAAAGCCAGCCTTAAGAAATGGGGCTACAAAGTGGAGTCCACAATATGTGAGAGTGGAGAAGAGCAATTCACAGACCACGCATTACAATGTAGCCTGAGCCCTGCCACACGCACAATGGAAGACCTTATAACACCACCAGAGGCACTCCAAGTGGCCAGCTACTGGTCAAAGGACATTTGGCATAATACCAAGGTTTTTACTTTGTCTTTTAAAATACTTTACAACTGTACCCTCAATTCGCTTCTGACACGATAAATAAATACTCTACTTTTATGTTCGAAAGAGAAATCAAATTACAGATAAAAAATAATGAGCCAAGACATATCTTGTTACTAAAAGCAGTAAAGATGTATCAGATTCTTATCATGCTACGTTAAAAGAGGCACAGTGTACTTTGTGGCCAATTTGCAGCCTACGTTCACCAGGCCACAGGGTCAAGTCTCTCAGCATCAATGGCAGACGACAAAGAAACTATAAAATCAGGTTGCCTGTGCTGTGGCCCTCTCATGATTCCATCTGAATACTAAGGCAAGAAGATTTTCAGTGCAAATCTAAGTTGGGAGGTCTTTTTGTTGTACCTCTTGGGGGTTTCCAAGGGCCTCGCCCAGCATTTTCTCTATGTTCCTCATTATTGCCACCTTCTGATGAGCCTTAAGAGGATATTCAATCCTTTTGGGGGTTGGGGCACCCTGAAGATAAAAACAGACACATACACACTTAAATTCCTCTAAAAATGCATGGGTAGACTCTCAAATAGGCATTCTGACATTAACCCATCCACCCTCATCCCCACCTAAAAAAAAACCTTATCAAGAAAATAAGAATCATAGAAAATGCATGGTATCATCTGAAAATGCAGTCTCGTGCTTTTATTTATTTATTATTATTTATTTACGTCACTTATATCCCGCCCATATCAGCCCGCAGGCGACTCAGGGCGGAAATGCAACATTAAGATAAAAGGAAAACCAGGGCTGCACAATTTTCCTATGATTTAGGTTGTTTGAAAAAATGATATATATAAAAATATGATGCCAATAAAAGTTTGGGACAGGGGAGGAAATGGGCATTCCATTGGCTGTCAAGCAAGACAGAGCTTTGTTTAGGCAAGTGGTTCTCAACCTGTGGGTCCCCAGATGTTTTGGCCTTCAGCTCCCAGAAATCCTAACAGCTGGTAAACTTAGAAGTCCACATCAGATTTGGGAGAGGTGATGCAGATTCAAAGCCATTTTAAACTACTCTTAAAGATGAATACTTGGAAATACATTTTACAGTGCAGCACAATCAATTCTAATTGCATCACTCTACAGATATGAGCGACGCCTGGCTTGAAAACAGTACGTGTAAAAGGGATCTAGAAGTCTTAGTAGACGACAAGCTGAGCATGAGTAAATGATGTGGTGTGACCACTAAAAAGCCCAATGATCTAACCTGCAACAATGTAAGTATTGTGTCTAGATCAAGGGAAGTCATAAGGGTAAAGGTAAAGGTTTCCCCTGACATTAAGTCTAGTCATGTCCAACTCTGGGAGGTGGTGCTCATATCCATTTTTAAGCCAAAGAGCCGGCGTTCACAGACACCTCTAAGGTCATGTGGCCAGCATCACTGCATGAAGCGCCCTTACTTTCCCACAGAAGAGGTACCTATTGCTCTACTCACACTTGCATGTTTTCAAACTGCTAGGTTGGCAGAAGCTGGGGCTAACAGCGGGAGCTCTCCCTGCTCCCTGAATTAGAACTGCCAACCTTTCGGTCAGCAAGTTCAGCAAATCAGTGGTTTAACCCGCTGCACCATCAGGGGACCCTAGGAAAGTCATAGTACCAATCTATTCTGCTTTGATCAGATTTTATCTGGAATGCTGGGTCCAAGTCTGGACACAATTCAAGGAAAACAGTAGTAAATTGGAAGGTGCCCAGAGAAGAGTGACCAAAATTATCGAAGGTTTGGAAACAAAGCACTATGAGGAGCTGCTTAAATAGCCAAGTATGTTTATCTTGAAGAAAAAAAGGCTCAGAAGTTAAATGATAGGCATATTTAAATAACAGGAATGATGTTACTTTGAGGAAGGGTCAAGCTAGTTTTCTGCTGCTCTGGAGACTAAGAGCAATGGATTCAAATTGCAAAACAAACAAATGAAAAGATTCCACCTAAACCTGAAGTGGTGAAGTCTCCTCCTCTGAACGTTTTTAGACAGAGTCTGGATGGCCATCTGTTGAGAGTGCTTTAATTGTGTTGTCCTACATAGCAGGAGGGTGGACTGAATAGCCCTGTGGTCTCTTCCAACTCTATGACTCTATGAGAGTATTTGTAGCATCTGCTATTAATTTCAAAAAGTTTTCTTCCCTGACAGCATTGCAAGTTAAACAATTGCTCACCTTGTACCAAAAATTCACAGTTATGGTCGTTCCTCCATTCAGCAAAGACTCAATATGATGCCACCTAAATAGAATTATAGACAGGACAGTGTCAACACACAGGATTCATCTGAGAACTCAGACAATTTTAAATTGGGGCATCTCATATCAGTAGCACCAAGGAATAGGTTTTTGCCCTTACAGTCCTCTTTAAATTGTTTTAACTCCCTCCTCTAGGAAGGAAAATTTTGAAATTATACTCTGTTTGTTGAAAAATTTATATTCTTTACCATTAAATGGGGAAAGGGCGCTATTTTGTAAAGGTAACATCCAAGAGAAATCCCTAGGAGAGTCACAGTATTTTCGCCAAAAAGGGCTGTGTGGAAAGGGAGATGTGTCCCAAAATATACCTTGCGGGGCAAATGCAGGCCTAGGCCCATTCTTGTACACCTGGACTCATAAAATGTTCATGCTAAGCAAATATACTGTAACTATCTGTTATTTTGGGGGTTGGTTTAAGTTACCCAGTTGATCATACTCCAAGAATAATTACATCTATCTGCATACATATTCTTTTTGAGAAAATGTAAAAAACAGAATATGCTTCCCTCCTAAATAGTAGCTTGAAGTCTGCTCAGATGTGCTCTAACTGAAATTATTATCGTGAACTAGAAGCTCTAAACTTCCCTGTCCTATGCATTATTTTAATGTCTGCCAGATTCCTTCTCAGCCCATTTTCCATTCAAATTCAATGTACACTAATACAGAATAAAAGGAGGTGGTCACAGCACTATGATATCAAAACATCACATGAAATCACTTTCAGCTAGAAATTGCTAAAATACAACCATTGCTTACTCTTCCTAGCAAGGTAAAACTACTTGGGAGGAAGTAGACTAGCCTTTGCCCCTTATTATTTTTCATTGATGGTTTAAGATTAATGCTCCCAGGATAACCCAATACAGTGTTCCCTTGCTACTTTGCGGTTCGCTTATTGGGGACTCGGTGTTTCACAGGGACCACTGTAGAGCTACTCCCTGTTCTTTCCTCGCCAGGCTGGGCGCCCAAGGGCACCTGACCTCCAAGGTGGGGAGCAGCGGAGGTGGCAAGGAGGAGGAGAGGGCCTCAGCGGCAGCATGCTCTTCCTTGTCCCTCTGCTGCACACCTTCATCGCCAGGCTGGGTGCCAGGCTTGGGCACCCAACCTGGCGAGGAAGGGACCTCAGAGGAGGGAAGCAGCGGAGGTGGAGAGGAGGAGGAGGCCGCCTCTGAAGAGGGCCTCAGCAGCGGTGTCCTTCTCCTCATACTTCCGCTGCTCCCTGCTCCTTCCTCGGCAAGCTGGGCACTAGGCTTGGGCACCCGAGGCCTCCGAGGCAGGGAGAAGCGGAGGTGGCGAGGAGGAGGCCGCCGCAAAGTAGGGACACTCCACCCACACAAGTGGGCAGAGCGTCCCTACTTCGTGGATTTTTATTTATCACAGGTGGTCCTGGCACGGAACACCCACGATAAATGAGGGAATACAGTAATATGTCTTCCTTGAACAACTTTAGAATAATATTATACAGCTGCATCAGAGGGCATGAATTCAACAATGGTTCAGACCAGGCATCCTCAAACTGCGGCCCTCCAGCTGTTTGGGCCTTCAACTCCCAGAATTCCCAACAACTGAACCAGCTCATTAGGGCTTCTGGAAGTTGAAGGCCCAAACAGCTGGAGGGCCAAAGTTTGAGGATACCTGGTTCAGACAGTCTTCCCTATTAAAGCTTGTAGCAAAATTCCATGGTAACAGAATATCAGTTCAAAGCCCACAACACAGAAAAATGTGACATTTGTATTCTGACTTCCATGGCTACCAAAAATTGTAAGGGACATTTTCTATTTTGGTATCTTCTAGAAAAATATCACCTTGCATTTGCAAAACATTTATCCACTGTATCTTGAATGTATTGAAGCATTTTCCCATAAGTTAATTTAGGCAAACATGAAACAGGCAGAACTTCTAGGCCCAGCTTTGGGATTATAGTAACCACTAGTTCTTTCTACAACACCCCATTCACAATCTATGTTCATTACCAGTACATAGGGATATAAAGGACATCGCCTGGGCCAACCACAGTCTCATATCCAACTACATTCTGGAAATTTGGAAACCTCTCGTAGTCAGGGTTGTCAAAGTCAACCTAGGAACAAGAGACAAAACATATCACATAGAGACTCCCTATAGCATGCTTTTTCCATCCTCAGAAGAAATAGAACATTTACAGGTAAGGGCTCATTAAAATTGTCT